TCCATATTTCTCACATGGCTCATAACATGTATTTCAAAAGTGTTTCAGATTTCTCTTTTCTCCAATGCCCCCTCCCAATCAGAATTACTGTTGGTAAGCGACCCCAGTTCCTTCATATTGAGAATCTCTAGGCCATAAAAAACAACTAAGCAAATGCCTTCCCTATATTTTCAACATTTCTGTCTCTAGGTTTTACCTTTGCCTCTGATAAAGGTAAGCAGCTTCTTCCCTATTCTCTCCCCGTGGCCTTTCTGTTTTAATTGTCAAGTATTTCAAACATAGAGAAAAGTACCGAAGCTAATGAAGCAGACATGTACACATCCACACCGTGACTCAATAAACATTAGGAGTTTGTGAGATTTGCTTTAGATTTTTAAAAGATAGATACAACTTTTGTACTTTTTGTGTTTATAAGTGAGATTGGCCAAGAAATTTTCTCTCCTTCTGTCTGTATCCTTACTTTGGAATAAAGGTTATATGAACTTCATAAAGTGAACTAAAGCACTTCATTGCATTGCCTAGTCACTGGGATCTGTATAATATGAAATAATGGGAAAGTTTGTTGGTGTCCTGGTAAAATTCATCTTCAGAGCTATTTCTGATAAGTGCTTTGTGCGCATGTAGGCTGGGGGGTTGCCTATGTATCCATTTTTTAAAAGATTTTATAAATTCATTCAGGTTTTCTATTTTTAAGTTAAATTTGAAAGTTTATAAACATAACAGTTTGTCTGCAAAGATACTGGCTAAAGTCATAGAATTACTTGTGCTTTTTAAAATCTATATATAACTACTTTTGCTTTGTAAACCTATAATATATCTCAAACTGCGTGCCTACCTTTCATTCCTATTCATGTTCATTGATGCTATCTCTCTCTAGAGGTATGCCTGTTTTATTAGTCTAATAAAAGAAAAATTATTTTGTCCTTTTTTAAATTTCATGAATGCCTATCTTAATTTTTAAATTTTTCGTATTTTTCTTTCTCAAGTTTTTATTCTTGGGTTCATGTATTAACTTCTTGATTTGTACCTTTAACATGTGAATTTTCAATATTTTTTCCACTCTCTAATATATACAATTTGCCTTTAAAACCTATTGAGCTTCAATTTACAAATTTTAACATTATCATTCAGAATCAAAATACTTAGTAATTTTTGTTGCAATTTTTTCCCTTTAACTTATGAAATATTTAGAAATGTGTTTTTGAATGTGCAAATATATAATGGGTATGTGAGGACTGAACAGTTGCCGTGTTCATGTTATTGATACCTACTTATATTTCTTTGTGAAAAGAAAGATGAGGTTTTATGTTATTCTCTAGTATTTGTTGAGACTCACTGGTCAGTTTTTTGGTTTTGTTTATGTTTGTTTTCTTACTATCCCTAGGGTGCTGACAAAAACATTGCTTTCTCTGAAGGGCTCCGTGCAGTGCCCTAGGTTCAATTCATCGGTACAAGATGGATTATTGAGTTGCTGATGTCCTCTGTATTCTTAAGACAAGTTTTTGTCTGATATTGCCATTTCCGATCAAATATCTTAAGACTTCACACTAGCATTGTGTAATTCCAGTTTCTCTTTTCAAGACTCTCAGTTTTAGATTTTGAATGCTATCCTATTTAAATAGATGCAGGCTTAAGGTCAATATATTTCCCAGTGAATTATTTCTTTTACACTTAAGAAATGATCTCTTTCATGCCCAATACGTTTTGTTTTTGACCTTTGACTGTCTTGTCTGATGTTAATATTGTAGTATTGCTTTTTTTGCTTGTTTTGAATGTCTGCCTAGTATTTCTTAGTTTATCTCCTCATTTTTATCCATTCCATGTGATTTTTAGTTTAAATATGTCTCTTGTAAGCATCATATAATTGGGTTGTATTTTTAAATCTAAGGCAGACATTCATTTATATTTGTTTTGATTGTGTTGGGCTTAATTTTTAAAAAGTTCTCCTCCTTTTATACCTTCCATTTGATTGATTGAGTTTTCCTCCCATGCATTTATTTTGAAGTTATGAGTCCTCCCCCTGACCCCCAGTGGCTACCTATAGAGTTTTAACAAAGTTAAGAACTAGCCTGTTTCTCTTCTGTTACCAAAACATGCCAGGGTTTTACAGTATTCTCAGTCCAATCACACCTTCCCATCCCCTTGCGATGATTCTCCACTATTGTATTTCCAGTTGTTTTAACACTCATTAGTTATTACTATTTTTTTCATCATTAAGTATATTTGGACTTGTTTTTGTTAGTCTTTTAGTTGACACATTGCTTTTTCTACTTGCTCATTCTTTCTTCGATTTATTTGTTAAGAACATTTACTGGTTATTTTAGCAAAATTCTTTAAGGGTTAGTTTCCATTTTGGATACTGAAAATGTTCTTGTGTCATTGCCATTTTGAGAGACTGTTTTCAATGAAATTCTAGATTGACACTTATTTTCTCTTGGCCCTTTGAAGATATTTCACTGTCATCTGTTATCTGTTGAGGATAAGGTTTCAGTCTTATTGTCATCCCTTTTGAGGTAGTCTATTTTTGTTCAAAACTGTTTAAGATATTCTTTTTTTTTTGATGTTTTGTGATTTCAACATATCACATGGATATTTGTCCTTCAGAGTTGGAGTCTTCCTTTATCTGAGGACTCATCATTTTTTTCAATTCTAAAGATTTCAGCCATTAGCTCTTCAAATATTGCTTTTCTGCCACCTGCTGTGTGTTTTTATTCTGAAACTCATACAGATATGCACTCAGACTACTTATTCCATTCCCTGTATTTCGTTCTCTATCGTGTTTTTTTTACTCATCATCTTATGTGCTGTATTCTAGATGTTTCACCAACTCTATATTTTATTTAATAACTAAAGGCCCAATGCATTGATCCGTGCACATTGAAAGGAAATTAATTAGAAGAAATATTTTAATATCGCTACTCACTCTTTCTCTATAATAGAAGTGTCAACCAAATTCACGATCGACAATGACAGATCGAAACACGTGTGTGATTGGCGCCAGCGAGGGCTTTATATATATGTGTGTGTGTGTGTATAAATTTGCTTAATTAGCCCTGCTTTCTGATTTAGCTAAACTTTTTCCAGCCCAGTGAAGCACCCCAACTTCTCTTTCAAGGAATTGTCAGCAATACAGCAGTAAATATCAACACGAAGCAGATTATTATTGTAGATCATGCAGGGAGAACAAAGGGTAAAATATTTAACTGCAGCAGTGTTTGACTATATTCTGCACAGTGAGAAAACCTGAAGTCATTTTTAAGGTCTACCATTTCTTACTTCTTTTCAGTTGGGTCAAGTTTCTAAGCTTTCTAAATCTCCATTTTCCGGCTAATGATAAGAAAATAGGATTCTACCCAGTCTCCTACTACTTCAGGACTTCTGTGAGGATCAAATGAGATGAGGCATGGGAAAACGCTTCACAGACATTTGGTTAAAGTGTAAAATGTTTGCACCTGGCTACAAAGCAAGTCATGTTCCTGGGCTGAAGAAACTCCAAGGAGGCTAGTTGCTAGGGAGAGGAAGCCAGTTGTTGCTATGTGACGTCATTAACCTTTGCCCCTAGCGACTGTTTCCATGCTGGGCTGGGTTGTGGGCCGCATTTTGCGGCATGGGGTCTTGGCAGCATTAGCTGCAATTTGGTGGAGTGTCGCTCCAGGGTGGTGGCAGGGCCTGTGTCCCACTTGGGGAAAGCTGAAAGTTGCTTTGTGGGCGCCAGTTCCGTGGTGCTGTTTCTTTTTAAATGGCCAGTGTGCATCATGGCAGCTCCTGTGTTGAGTGTCTGCCCCCTGGTGGTCAGTGCACATCATAGCTACCGGTTGGATGGACATTAAGGCGAGTGTCTGTGTGTGTGTGTGTGTGTGTGTGTGTGTGTGTGTATTTATATATTCTTTCTTCTGCTGTGTTCATCGAATTTTTTTTAATTTTTAAAGAACTAATTTTCTTAGACATTTTATATGGTCACATTTCAAATGTGTCTATTTTTTTTATCATAGTGTTCTGTTTTTATATAATGGTTCTTATTCCTTCTTTTGTCTCTAATTGTTTAAAACAAAGGCCAGCAATTTTTCTATCAGAGGACAGAGAGGCAATGCAGTAGGCTTTGCAGGTCATGTGATTTCCGTCACAGCTATTCAACTCTGAATTGTAATGCAGAGGTAGTAGACCTAGGGAATCTAAACAGTTGGACTGGATATAGCTCATAAGCTGTAATTTATCAACAAATGATTGAAAATACACTCTATTAATATCACATTCAAATGGTTCTCTTAACTCAAGTAGCTAAGAGTGGAAATTCTTCTGTTTGATGCATCAGCTGACTGCCCCTCATGGTAGGTTACTTTCTTGTGTCAGTATTTCCAGTTATGACCTCTATATATGGCCTCCTGTTGGAAGCCAGTGTGCCTTGCCTTGTAGAATTATCCTTCAAAGCATACTGGCTTTGCAGACCATGCAGCTGGTATTTTTATAAAGGATTGCTTTATACATTATTGCTCTCAAAATACCCTGGATAAGAGTCTTCTGAAATAATCCAGTGCTTGGTGCTCTACCTGACACATGGGGACCACCAAGCTATTGGTGCTACCCGTATCTCTATTAAATTCCCAGCATTATTATTATTCATTCTGTGTAATATAGATATAGAATGTACAAATATTGTACTTGCTACCACTTATGCTCCCCAATTTTTTTTAAAAATTCTGGTGAATTGGAAGAACATAAAGTACTTCTTTATCTAGAACTGGTGCTCCTTTGAGACAAAAATATGGACGCATTGAGTGAAGGATGCGTGATGAAAATTAAAGACAACTTAGGCAAATTAGGAACACAAAGAAGCTTTGAGATTTCCTTCTGAAATACCATTTTTAAAAGGGGTAGAATTAAATATATTCATGAACCTATATGTGTACATATATGTGCTCGATGTATACGTATATCTGTGTGTACACGTGCATGATGTTTCCAGTCCGTAGTAAACGCATGCCTCTTGCTCTTTATCACAGGACACTTGAAATGGACCAAAGCTGAGGACATTGACATAGAAACGCCAGGATCTATTCTTGTCAACACTAACTTGAGGGCATTAATCAATAAACATACGTTTGCTTCCTTACCTCAGCATTTTCAACAATACCTCCTGCTTTTGCTCCCAGAAGTGGATCGGCAGGTAAGTAGAAGTTTAGACACTTGATATGAGTCACTAGTTGTATTTATAAAGTGGCAAGTCTCTTCTCAAAGATGACTGATAAGTGGATGGACCGTTTTTGTAATGTTACAGTGTATTTATGTAATTTACATGCTTACCGCTAGCATTGGTGTATTTGTTTCATCTGCCAAAACAAAGCCATTTTTTATTATCAGGCGTGAGCCAATCCCAATTGTAAGATACAGCACATTGCAATAAAGTGAAAACAATAGACCTACCCACCATGGGAAGGGAAAGCAAAGAAATCAAACATTCCACCATCAAATACATCGTTGAAGTAGCTGCTCCCTGCCCGGAGGGAATAGTGAAGTGCAGCAATAAAAAGCCAGGGCTTCTAAGAAATTATGTAAATGTTTTTATTCTCAACTCTTTCCAAAAAGCATTTAAAATTTATGTTTGCAGTTGCCTTCTGAGAGTTTATCATCATGAATACGATTGCCTATAAATAATCACCTTTTATCTTTCTTTTAGTACAACTGGAAATGCTTTAAGTGTAGTTTAGTATTTTTGAAAGGCCTCTAAAATAAGGAAATGCAAAGATAGACCCACAATAGCAGGCATCAGTCATCTTCTAAAGCTGTTTCCTTAGAAAAGGCAAACAAATTCATCACATAAGCTTTTATTAAATCTCACAAAAATTATTAAATGGTAAATAGGAAACATTTCCTTGTGATTCTTATTTCAATAAATTTTGACACTGTATATTGTTTCCAGTTGATGGACATAGTGTGTGCATATTTATGAATTTGTATCTCAAAATGAATTCGTATCTCAAAATGATAGGTACCTCCATAGATTGAAATGGGCGAGATGGATTCAGTATTTTCACATTACTATGAATAATTTTTTTAGCTTTTTATTTGATTCTGTTTCTACTAACTTATCTCCTTTCATACATACTTAAAATTTGTTGAGCCATCTAGTTTTCTGTCATTCTTATAGATCTCTTTGGTAGAGATTATTGTTCATATCTGGAAAAATATTATTTTCATTTTGGGAAGATTTGTGTTTGGAAGTTTGCCTTCATTTTATAAAAATTGTTTAATATTTATGAAATCAGTGATTACATACACTCGAGTTGGATACATCAGCTACATTTCTAAATAATCAAAATATGAGATAGAAACAGATAAGCTTTAGGGGAAGGCAGAAAGTATATTGAGCTTTCATATGCAGAAGGAAAGAATCAGAGACATATTTAAGATTGGGCCGAGAAATATGGGCAGAATTTGAGAATAAATGACGGAAGGTGAAAGGTTCAGATACAAAATCAAGAGCTAACTTTGTGGGAGACTGGATTTTAGGTGGAACTATGCCAATGAATCTGGAGAGACAAAGCAGAAGTTGATTTTGGGAGATTCTTGCATATAAAGGCTAAGAGGTCTTGGAAAGTGTTCTCCCTGTGTTTGCCGTGCAAAGCCATAGAGGGCTTTTGAGCAGAGCTAAAATGTACAATATTGTTGCTCTTTAAGAAACTTACTCTGGCAGTACTAAAAAGGAATGTTAGAGATGGGAGGCATGAGGGTGGAAAAAGTGGCTAGAAAGCAATTTTAGTTGTTTCAAAAGGCAAAATGAGGGCTTGAATTTGGAAAATAACATTGAAATCGAGGAGGAGGATAATGTCATCATTATCTTCATCATCACCCAGTGGGAGCAATTTTACATTTTGTCAAGTAGCAGTTGCAGTAAGATATAGGGAGAAGCTACTGATGACTCTTAGATTTCAAGCTTGTGTGATTGAGAATTGAATGCAGGAATTAAGAAAAAAAGTTACTTTTTTTGTGGTGGTGGGGACTGATTTTTTTAGTTACACACTATTTCCTCCACTTCAACATCTGTGTGGTTTATCTTGTTGGCAATTCGGTCTCCAACTCCTAGAATAAGATTTGGCATATAAAGGATAGTCAGTACATCTTTTCAGAATAGAGAAATGACAAGTTGTCCTAGGTTTAGCCAAATAGCTCAGTGAGCCAGGAGGCCAGCCTCAGCAGTTTCTGTTACTCAGCTTTTTCTAGTCCTTGTGAGAAATATAGATGAGCAAGGCACAATACCTGTCCTTGTGGACAGGAAAGTTCACCAGGAAATTATTTATTCAAGAAATATCTATTGAGCATGTATTATGTGCTTCGTATACATTGTGAAATACAGAGGATAGAAGAATGAATCTTCTAGAGCAGCGGTTCTCAGCCTGTGGGTCACGACCCCTTTGGGTGTCGAACGACCCTTTCATAAGGGGTCGCCTCAGACCATTGGAAAACACATATATAATTACATATTGTTTTTGTGATTAATCACTATGCTTTAATTATGTTCAATTTGAAACAATGAAAATACATCCTGCATATCAGATATTTACATTATGATTCATAACAGTAGTAAAATTACAGTTATGAAGTAGCAACGAAAATAATTTTATGGTTGGGGTCACCACAACATGCGGAACTATATTAAAGAGTCGCGGCATTAGGAAGGTTGAGAACCACTGTTCTAGAGGAATAACAGAGAAGAAAGACAACCTTGTGTTAAAATGCTGTACAATATACACTTTGCTCATTACTAGGAATTAAGTCTTAAAAACTGGGTGGATCTACACCAAATTTAGCATAAGACAGGGGAAAGTAATATAAATGCCAAAATGGAAGAATAAAGAACATCCTCTGAGTGTCCAGAGGATAAAGAACTTCAGTCTGAAAGTAGTACTGGAGATGATCTCATGGTGGAAAGGATAATGGAACCTTGAAGCACTAATAGGTGTTTCATCAGTAGGATCAAGGGACAGTGACTCTTACAGAGGAGGAGCGTGCCACTTACAACGACCTGAGTACCAGGAGATCCAGCAGTTCATTGTGCCTGGATGAGGGGGGAAGAGGTGGGATGCTGTGCTGACGGGTCGTTGGTTGACCACCTTGATGACCTGGTTGCAGACTACGCTCTTGGAACTCTTTCTCAAAGGAATGGGTACCATCAGAGATTTTGCAAATGAGAAATGGCATGCATGGAATAATGTATACAAATACTTTAATGCCTGGACAGAAAGGAGGGGAAGAAGATCCTAAAAGATGAATAAAATGCAGTCTTCATTTTCCCTTAAGAGCCAGTTGTCCTGTGAATGATGGATGGGACAGGCAGAAAGTTAAGGCTCAGGGATACTGGTTTAGAGACCATTGTAGTAGTTGAAAACAGAGATGAGGGTCTGACCTTGGGCTTTTGGCCTTGAAAGTGAACAGAAAGGACTGAATTCCAGGCATATTTTCAACCCAGACGAGTAGGAAGACATGAGAGATTGCCTGGGAGATGGGGTTGTGAAAGGTCTAGAAGGCAGTGGAGATTTTATCTTGGGTGACTTGGGAGGGCAGAGTGGCTCTGTGATCCTATCAGCATTTGGTACCAAGGAATTTAGAGCTCTTCTGTCTCTGTCTCAAGATGAGCAAAACCCTCTGTCCTGCTACCAAACTGCTGATGTTTCAGTTTAGCTTATAGATTTCCCAATGGGAATGGGCACCACTATTTTCTGGGACAGAATCCGATCTCTAGAAAAGGCACGGGAATGGGAATCTGATTACATAGATTTACTATTTGAGCCAGTGGGAGGCACTCTAATTATGTGAAATACCTGAGAATTTCACTGGTATGAAAGCTGTCTTTGCATATTTTTTACAACATCGGAGATTCCCAGCTTTCTTGTTTCCTGCCTTTGATTTTCCCAGGTTTCTGCCTGATTTCTCCCCTAGCACCGTGCTCCCTGGCCTCCTCCTCTGGACCACGTAAAGCCAGGTTCATTGCATTATGGCATCTTCAAAATACAAGCCAGGCTTCCCATTTCTCCTGTCAGTGCCAACTATCATTAAGCTAGCCTGTCTGGTATTTTGTTTTCCTATATTTGTACTTTCCTTTCTTTTTAAGAAGGTATTTTTATCTTAGTTTACCTTTTTTATTTACTCCTGGTTGTTTATAACACTGTCACACTTCATTTTACTCTCCACACATTATGCTGCAAGGAACAGAAAATCAAACTCCAACTGATTGAAATATAAAGGGGATTTATTGGCTCAGGTAATTAGAAGCGAGAGGTTCGAGTGGGCTTCTGGTTGTTGGTCCTGGTTTCAGAATTTATTAAGGACCCATTTAATTATTATTAGTGAATTAATTTTAAAATCGTCTTCCTTCTTGTTGGCACTATTCTAAACCTGAATCAAAAAATCAAAAAGCTGTACTTGCCTCTCAGTTCATATTCATGAAGAAAGTACTTCTATTTCAGTATTTCAAAGAAGACCTGGGATTCACACTAAAGGTACTACTTAGGTCACATGATCACTTCTAAAACAATGATGCTAGCCAAGGCAATGGACTATGCACAGTGGTTTAAAGCATCCAGGCCCACTCTTGAACCTTAGAGGTAAAATGGTGCACTGTGGTAGAGGTCAGATATACTTCAGAAATCTGGCTTTTAAGAGGTTCTATTAGAAGGATATGTCACGGGGGTGGGATGGGGAGAAGCTTGCTAGTCAGCTAACAGTGCCTACTGTAGGGGCGGGAATAGGTATTGAGTTGAGTTTTAACATGTTGGGTTGAAATGCTTCTACTATATCAGTGGTTCTCAACCTTCTGGCCCTTTAAATACAGTTCCTCATGTTGTGACCCAACCATAAAATTATTTTCGTTGCTACTTCATAACTGTAATGTTGCTACTGTTATGAATCCTAATGTAAATATCTGATATGCAGGATGGTCTTAGGCGACCCCTGTGGAAGGGTCGTTCGACCGCCAAAGGGGTCGTGACCCACAGGTTGAGAACCGCTGTACTATATGCAATGTCCAGAAATGATTATATGTTCATGTTCGGGGACTGAATAAAATTCAGTGAGTGATAAAATCTACATGGATACCAGTGTCAGCTGTGGGATTTGAGGAGGCTGAGAGACATCATAGTCATCCCAGAGGAATACATATATTTGTGAGAG